TCTTTCTTTCTTTCTTTCTTTCTTTCTTTCTTTCTTTCTTTCTTTCTTATTATTATTGATTTATTATTTATACAATATTCTGGCTTGCATCTGTGCCTACACGCCATGCTAGGAATTGAACCTGGGTCTTTAAAAGCAGCCTTTGTTCTTAACCACTAAAGACAGCCATCTGTCTCTTTAGTCTGCTTGCTGCTGTTTTTGAGAGATTTTATTAGGTGTATTGATACATCTTACTTGGAAATTGTACTTGTGTGCATTAAAGTTGGATCCTGAATTAAATGTGTAAGTGTTAAAAAAAACAAACCAGAGGATTGGGGTGGTATAGTCAGTGGTAGAACACTTGGCTTTGTGTTCAAGGCTCTGAGTTTGATCCCCAGGACCATAAGTCAAAGGAACAAACCCACATGATTTTAGAAATATTAAATTGTATTTTTAAAGAGTTTTTTTTAATTGTAATATTTCCTTAGTTTTAGCATCTATTCTTACATAATGCTGGGCTTTGACATTTTCATATATGTGTGTGTTATGGGTTTTTTGTTTGGTTGGTTTGTTTTTTGAGACAGGGTTCCTTTACATAGCCTTGGCTGTTCTGGACTCACTTTGTAGACCAGGCTGGCCTCGAACTCATAGTAATTCACCTGCCTCTGCCTCCTACAGTGCTGGAATGACAGGCATGAGCCACTGCATCCAGCTTTTTGTTTGCTTTTTAAGCATAATCTCCCTGTAGCTCAGCTGGCCTGCAGCCTGTGCCCTCCTCCTTTTTGGTCTCCCAAGAGGTGGGATTACAGGTATTGGCCCCCACACTGTTTTTATAATATTTATTTGGTGAGATATTTTAGTTTTCTCTGTGTTAACATCATAACATGCTCACATTTGGATAATAATTAGACTAGATTATTTCTGTGGTACTAAAATTGCGATTGTATGTGAGATTGTATATAACATTCAATTTTTTTCGTTTTTTAAGATTTATCTATTTGTTAATTTATTTGTTTGTTTGTTTTATGAATGCTGTTTCATGCATATCAGAATAGGGAATCAGATTCCATTACAGATGGTTGTGAGCCACTATATGGTTGCTGGGACTAGAACTCAGGTCCTCTGGAAGAGCAGTCAGTGCTCTTAACTGCTGGGCCATCTCTCCAGCCTCCTAGTTTGTTCTTCTAATACAATACCATGGATGTTTACAGTTGTTTGAGGATATTGTGGGTACTTCTATTCATGGATATTTATGGCTATTTGTATGTTGTTTTCTATAGGGATCTGTTCCAAATAAGTTTTATGTCCACAATGATATGTTTCGTTATGAAGATGAAGTATTTGGTGATTCTGAACCAGAACTTGATGAAGGTGAGCTTAGTTTGAAGGGAAAAGGTTCTTGGTAGTTTCAATAGTATGAAACTTTTAAAAATGTGCCATTGATTTTATAAGAATTAAGTGAGTGGCATGGAACCTTTTCACTTCTTGTCTGTTGCCAGTCCAAATTCTGGCTGTACTGTATTTATTAATCTTCCACTGATAGAAATATTGGTTTGCTTTCCTTCTTATTACTGAATAAAATAATTTTTCAGTTTCCTTGCAAGCTTTTCCTAACTAATACATCTTGTATTAGAACATAGTAATCAAATTTTGTCGTACTTTTTCTCTTTAGTTTGCAGGGAACAGGGAATATTTCAGTGACCTTTTAAACCAGCATGCATTTAAGCATACTACAGTCTATGTGTTAGAGATTGTTTGAGCGCTTCTTAAAAAGATGTGCTATATTATGTATTGTCAGAATCAGAAGACGAGGTAGAAGAGGAGCAAGAAGAAAGGCAGCCGTCTCCTGAACCTGTGCAAGAGAATGCTAACAGCGCTTATTATGATGCTCATCCTGTGACGTAAGACTAGCACTTGAAGGTGCATTTGCACTGACCTGTAGTGTAACGGACTGTAAGGTAGTTGATTCTAGGATTACTGTTGAAGTTAATTTTTTTCCTTTAGTGTTAGGTATTAAACCTCAGACTTTGTGCATGTTAAGTATGCACTTTGCCACCAAACTATACCCTCAGCCCCTGGGAATACATTTTGTTAAAACTGTACATTTGAGCCAGTATTTGATATATACCAAGATACTGAAAATTACTACTTATTTCAAAAATTTCACATGGTTTCACCTTTTTTCCCACAGTTTTTTTAAACTGTGGTTGACTACTGATAATGCAGACTGCTTAGAACAGTGCACTGAACTTACTTCTGCATGGGGAGGGAGGCGGCTCAGCCAGCAATGGTGCTCACCCTGCAAGCCTGGAGTGCTAAGCTGAATTCCTGATGTAAAGTGGAAGAATACTGATTTCATAAAAGCCTCACCTCGTGCATCGTTCCTTCACACACTAATTAGAATACAAACATTATTGATAACTTAGATTTTAAATCCTGTAACTGTGGATATAGTGATGGCACAGCAGTTCAGAGCATCCCTATGGCAGTAAAATCCTGTCTCAAACAACCAAACCAAAGAAACAGATGGGTTTAGACTGGAGGTGAGCCTCTGTGGTGGAGCAATTTTGCCGGTATGTGCACAGCATCTGGCTTGGGTTTTATCCCTTCTGAACGCCCACATGTACCTGAACACAGAACAGGTTACTGGCACATATCTGGCTACAACTGTTAGTTTGGAGAGAAACAGTTTTGTTTCATTTGAATGCCTAGTGACCTAGATGTTTCATTCTAGTAATGGCATAGAGGAGCCTTTGGAAGAATCCTCTCATGAACCTGAACCTGAGCCAGAATCTGAAACAAAGACTGAAGAGCTGAAACCACAAGTGGAGGAGAAACACTTGGAAGAGCTAGAGGAGAAGTCTGCCACTCCTCCTCCTGCCGAGCCTGCTTCTCTGCCTCAAGAACCGCCAAAGGTGAGATCAGAGGAACTTTTCAGACCTGGACCTCACATTTTCATACTTGGTGCCATTAACGAAGCATGATTTTGGTTCATTTATTTGAAATAGTAAGCTTTACTTTTGTGTATATGAAAGAAGCTGGAGTTTTTGTTGTTCTGGGGAGATTTCATGGTTTCTCTCTACCCCACAAATATTCCTAAGAGTGAAATTTATAACATAAGATTACTCTTGTCTGTATGCAGTGTTGAATGACTTACATGAAATTATTCAAGTCCATGTATGAGGCTTTCAGTTGCTCATCTCTTCTGATGCTCCAGGAGTCATGCAATGTCCCAATTGAAGTTGATCTGTGAGAGATATCTGCTTGTGATATAAATGGGATCAGTTTCCTTACTCTACTAATTTTCTTGTAGAGATGCGTGACACCCATAGTATATCATGTAAAACTTCTCTATCTTTGTGAAGTAGAAGATTAAAGTACATTTGGCAGTGAGAGAAAAGTAGTACAATAGTCCTTGTTCAATTTGTAAGTGTCTGTTAATTTTCCAGCTAGTACTCTGTTCTTTTCTATTCTTCCCCTTTCCCCTAACACCATCACTCACACATCCTGTCTTCCCAGAAAAGGGGAAGGAAGTCAGTTCTATCTGGTTCAGATTTTACAGCATGTTTAGTTGATAGTGGTTTTGTTTGCCACTTGCTTATGTAGGAACTTGGTGTGGTTTATTTAGCAGCTGAGACAAAACAGTCATATCTTGCATAATGAGATTTTGAAAGCTGGCACGCAGACTGGCATGTGTGTGTGTGCCTTTCTTGTAGGAGTCCTTCAATGTAAAGGAACAGATCAGAAATGAAAACAGATTATATATTTGGAAGTTTCCCTATAGGAATGTTGGTGGTTTTCCATGATTAGTAGTCTAGGTTTGTTGCATTTCCTGCAGGCTTTCTCCTGGGCTTCAGTGACCAGTAAAAACCTGCCTCCTAGTGGTACTGTTTCTTCCTCTGGAATTCCACCCCATGTTAAAGCACCAGTCTCACAGGTAACGATCTGTGAACACATTGGATTGTATCCTTGTTACATTTGCCAATTGCTTATTTTTTATACATTTTTAAGTGAGTCAACCAGAAATATGGATTAAACATACAAAAATGTATTAAATGTCAGTGCACCCACTTTAAATGCCAAATCTCTATTAATCTACAGAGGTGGTATTTGGGGCTTGGGTGTGTACAATACAGATTAAGTTGGTTTTACTAATACTATATTGTCATTTTAAAGGCTTCTTTAAAAAAGTACTCCTTTTGAAAATTTTACAACTTAGTAAGAACATTTTAGGTAAGAAATTTGGAAAGGCACAAAATAGAATGACATTTAAAAATCATTGTTCTAAAGAAATAGAAACTTTATATATGTGTGTGTGTATATATAATATATATGTTACAATATATATTACATATATTTACATTTCCTAAACTCAGTCTCTAAGTTGTTTATACAATTTAATTGAAGCCTGTACCAACTTACGACTGTAGTGTTCACCTTAACAGATCATTTCAGTATTCTGCTTTTTGTCTGTTTGTCATCTTAACCCATTTCAGAGCTTTCCAAAACTGAAAATATGACACTATTTATGATGCTTGTTAGATAGTTAAGATTAAATTTGAATTAAGTTTATTGGCATATATAAGTATCCAGTTTCCCCCTCTATTTTGAGTTGTTTCATTTTCCTAGGATTTACATTTAAAATGGTTATTGTATGCATCTTTAGATGCTCTTAACATTGAGACAGAGGTTTTAAAAGTAACTAGTAATTACCTTGTCCTCAATGTTTCTATACATTGTAACCATCTATACAATACATAATACCCCTGTATTGTCATAGTCCCCCCCCCCCCCTTAGATATTTAAATTGGTTATGTTTGATCTCAAGCCAGAGTTCCAGCCTAATGATTTGTGCTTCTCAGACTGATCTGGAGAAGGGATAAATGACTTGGGACTTTGAAATCTTGATTTCTAATTTAATTTTGTGTCTATGGGTATTTTGGCTATGTGGGTGCATGTGTACTTCATGCATGCAGTGCCGTTAGAGGCTGGAGAAAGTGTTGGTTCTCTTGGGACTGGAGATACAGATGGTTGTGAGCTGACATAGGTGCTGAGGATGGAACCCTCTGGGTTGTCTGGAAGAGCAGCCGATGACTTCAATAACTGCTAAGTCATAGCTACAGCACAACACTTATTTTAAAAGTTCAATAATAGATTCCTTTTATTTGCCTAGCCATTATGTTCAGCATGATATTTTCACATTTGGGGCAGGGGCAGGGTCTCACTGTATAGCCCTGGCTGGCCATGAACTCACAAGATCCACCTACCTCTGCCTCCCTAGTACTAAGATTGAAAGTATGTACAGATAGTTCTTCTTACTGAGTCCTTAAAACCACCCTGTGTGAGAGGTATTCTCATTTTAGAGACGAAAATTAAAAGTCTAGCATAACTCACCCATGTTTGGACAGGTGAAATGCAGCCTGGCTTTTGTATTTATGTAGGTACACATCATACTACATAAGTGGTTCTACATGTGTACATTTTTCTTCAGTATCTTGTGGAGGGTATCGTGTCTGTATTCACACCAAAGAAGAGTACTATAATTAAGAGTACGTAATTAAGGTATGTCTTAACTTAGGAGATTCTAGACTCGTAGGTATTTCACATTTGAGTCATTCAAGGGCTGGAGAGATTGTTCACCAGTTAAGAACACATACTGCTCCCGAGTTGAGGATCCCAGCACCCATGTCAGGTGACTTAAAACTACCTGTAACTCCATTTCCAGGGGACCTGGTGCCTCTGTCCTCTGTTAGCATCTACACTCATGTGCACGTACCTACAGATAGCTTGCTTACATACATACATACATACCTACATACATACATACATACATAAAAATAATAAAACATAAGCTTTAAAAATATCCTCATGTCTTTGTGCTATGTTTGGTTTGATATTTTCACTTGGTTTAGTAACCTTCAACTTTGTTACTTTTGAATAATACTCATTTCTTTATATTAGATTATTTGGTAAACGGAAGTTAAATCTACATTTAGGATATTGGTAGGCATTGGGATAGAAGTAGGTAAGTGAAGTTCTTGATTAAATAGCTCATACTCAGTTGAAAGACGTGTGTGGTGTGGTGATTCCTTTTTGGCTTATTTGACCATTTTTATTTTATATTTTGTTGGACATTCATTTATAGGATTTGCTGTGAGATCTTCCTCTCCGGTTTCATGAAGTTAAATTGAAAGCCCTAATAGTAGGCTATTAGCCACTTGATTTGTTAGGAATAATTAGTTGTAATCAGCCGATGAGAAGAATTACAAGGACATAGCTGCCTTAGTTGACATTTCTTTCTTAGCTTTTGGTTCTACTTTTTATGCACTGGCATTCTGTCTACTTCCAAAGTCAAAGTTACTAAAGCAGTGTACAAATTATTCATAAGATGGGAAATCTTTTAAGCTTAATTTTAAATGGCTTTGAGAATTTATTTTGGTAAGAAGTTTTGAAATGTTAAGGTCAGAGCCTCAGGTTCTTTGATAATATTTAGATTGAGTGGTCTTTTTTCTGAAAATTCTAAATGCAAAGTATTAGCTATTTTTCTCAAAAAAGATTTATTTTTATGAGTATGGCTGGTTTTGCATGCACATATATCTTATGTACCATGTATGTGCAACGCCTTTAGGACCGGAACAGGGTCTCAGGGATCCTGGACCTGCAATTAGAGGGCTTTTAGCAACCATGCAAGTTCTGGGAACTGAACCGGAGTCTTCTGAAAAAGCATTAAGTGCTTTTAAACTGCTACCCATCTCTTCATGCCTTCTTTTGAGACAGAGTCTCACCATGTGGCTCTGCCTTGGGACTCTGGCTATGTAGACCAGGGTGGCCTTTAATTCACAGGATTCCACTTGCCTCTCGTCTCCTGGGTATTGGGATTGAAGGCTTGTTCTACCATTCCCTGTACACACTCGCCATTTTTAATTTCTAGTAAGACACTGAAGTTTGCTTGGAGTACATCTTTTTAATTCTGATTGATAATACAAACTGTACTAAATTCTGCTTTGAAGCTACCTTCGGGAAGTAAGCCTAAGTTGTAAATACCTGCTTTTTCTAGACATCAGCGTTAATGTTCTGTTAAACTAAGCCCAGGCAGTCGTTCCCTCATTGTCAGGTATACGGCATTCCGAGCTAAGGACTGCCCAACATTTGCTCAGGCACCCTGCTTGGTTCTTTCAGTGGTGCATATCTGCAGTCCCAGCACTGGGGGGAAGAAATGGAGTATCATCACAGGTTACAATCCGTATCTATCCCTGGGCTGGGGCTGAAGACATGGCTCAGCAGTTAAGAGGACTAGGGTTCAAGTCCTAGCGCTCCACATGGCAGCTCCCAACTGTCTGTATGTAACTCCAGTTCCTGTGGATCCGGCACCCTCACACAGATGTAGAAGACATACATGCAGGCAAAATACCCCAGTGCACATAAAAATAAGTGAATCGTTTAAAAAAAAAAAAAAAAAACAGTCCTCAAGGATTGCCTTCCTCCCATACACACAAAGCAAGCTAGCTAGAGAGACTTTATAACAAAAACTAAGTCCTCTCACTATGTAGACCAGGTTGGCCTTGAATTTACAGAAATCTGCTTGCCTCTGCCTCCTAAGTGCTGGATTCAAAGGTGTGTGTCACCTCAGCCAGCAAAATTAATTCTGTAACTAGGCAGATTCCAGGACATGTGAAAATGTAGTCTACATAGGTGGAAGAAAAGTTTGTAAGAAGTGGGCAAATCTTGTAATTAACTATTAATGTTGAAGCTGCATAGGTTTTTTTTTTTGTGTGTGTGTGTGTGTGTTTAGATTTGTCCTTGCAAATTATAACATCTCAGTTATATATGAAAGTTGGAGTCTTGCTTAGATCAAGGTACTAGCTCTAGTATGGGGTGTCCATAGTCTTTTGAATGTTTTCAACATCCTTTGATGATTCGTTTACTTTTGTCTTTTTCTTGGGCTATAAATCCCTGAGCAATAGAAAGCCCATAGAGGTTGAGAATACTGAAAATGCTATTATGTTAGGGGAAATGAATGAGCGGTGTGCACGGTATTTATTACAAAATACGTGATTGTATTGAGTCAGCAGTTGACAGCAGTCCTATCACTCCCACCCAATTAAGGAAAATGGTTGGTCAATCCTTTTAAAGGGCTTCTTTGACTATTTGAGATAGTCTATGGAAACTCCTGTCACTTTATTTGTGAGATGTGGTCTTATTGTTTCAAGGTGGCTTCAAATTTATGATCCTCCTGCCTCAGTCTTCTGAGTGCTGGGATTATAGGCACTTGCCACCATACTAAAGCGTTATTGTTTGAACTATTAAAATATTGGTTTTGAGATTATGGGATGGAGAAGGTGTGACTGAGCACTATTGATGTCTGAAGGCAGTAAACTAGGTATTTACTGAGGAATTATTTGTCTTTATTCTTGTCTTCATAAGACAAGAAAGCTTTTTAACTGTCTTATGTATGTATATGGAGTTGCTCATCTTGCATTTTGTGATTTTTGTAGCAATAACTTACGCTGTTTCATTGTGAATATAATTTTAATTTTAAGCATGTTATTGTGCAAAAGCAGCTTAGTGTGAATTATACAGTCTTGAGTGAAAAAATTAAGATCTACCCTACAGTCCTAGCTTGGTACAGAATATCTTTTTAAAAGTATTTCTTACATATATGGGAAATTATGTAAAGACATCATAAACTTAATATCATTGTCCTTGCTAGTGACTTGCTAATATTAGTTATGGTTGGTTTTTCTCCAGTAGAAGTTATTTCTTTATAGTATAAAAATTTTAATAATTTTTCTGTTATATTTTAGCCAAGGGTTGACGCTAAACCAGAAGTTCAGTCTCAGCCACCACGTGTACGTGAACAGCGACCCCGAGAGCGACCCGGTTTCCCTCCTCGAGGACCAAGGCCAGGTAAGCTCAACTCTTATGGCCTAAGATTGATTGGACACTTTGAAAAGACTAAACTTTAAAAAGTGTATTTGGTTTCATACACAGGTCTATGTGAAGATCCGATTGCTTATGTAGGGACATGCTGCCGAGATAGCCTGGGCTAACAACTTTGAGGAGTGGGTTTGTTGCTGACCTTTGCAAAGACACGTGTTTTGAAGGAATAATAGAGCACATTTTGTCATTTGCCCGTTGTTGCTGGCTTTAAGAATTCTAAGCTGAGGCTGGAGAGACGGCTCAGGTTAATAAGAACACTGAGAGTTCAGCAGTTAAGAGCGGTGGCGGCTCTTCCAGATGACCCAGGTTTAGGTTGCCATGCACCCACATGGCAGCTCAGAATTATCTGTAGCTCCAGTTGTGGGGGATGCAGTGCCCTCTGCTCATCTGCCAGCACTAGGTATGCACATGAATAGAGACATACAAACTACCCCTGTGCAGATAAATAAGACAGATAGCCTTTTCAAAAGAGAATTCTGTGGCTGCAGGTGGCATAAACTACTATACCTCAAATTCAGAAATTTATAAATCAAAGTGATGAAGTGAGATTCTATGTGACAGTACCTTAGGAGATAAGCCTTAAAAAGGAAATGTTTGTATTGTTATTGATTTGGCTGTACCATTCAAAGATGAAGTGTTTTCTGTTTCAAAAGACAACTAAGGAGATAATTAGTGGAATATGCCTTACTGACCTAAAAGTCTGCTTTGTTCATGGGTTATATAGGAGTAACTGTTCTTTTAGTATTAGCCATTTTATAATCAGACCTAGTTAATATCTGTCTGCACCTGGCATTCTTTTCACCCACTAATAACACACTTCTTCAAGGAGAACATCTGGTTTTTTTTTTTTTTTTTTTTTTTGGCCAAAGCATGAATATTAGTATTGTTTTGTTTGTTTTTATTTGAGTCACGGCCTCATTGGTTAGCTCCGGCAGCCTGGAACTCGGGAACCTCTCTGGCTTTTGGGATTCAATGCATGCACCATTGTGCCTGGCACTAACGGTGTTTTGCTTTCTAGTTCATTGCTTTGTATTGTTTTATATGTTGTTGTGGGCTTTAGTGTCTCCTCTCTTATGTTTTTCAGGCAGAGGAGATGTGGAACAGAACGACTCTGACAACCGGAGAATTATTCGTTATCCGGACAGTCATCAGCTTTTCGTTGGTAACTTGCCTCATGATATTGATGAAAATGAACTGAAAGAATTCTTTATGAGTAAGTGGTTTAGTTTGCTTTTATATTAGACTTTTAAATTAAAATTTAAAGTTACCTATATTAGACACACATAGATGCTCACCAGGGCTCAGTCCTCTCCTTGTGGTCCTGACCTGCCCTCCATGAGCAAGAGAATCTGCACTGGTTGGGGGTGTCCTGTCCAAGTGGATAACAGGACTCCACGGTTTTCAGTGTAACAGCTCTGCCATCTGAAATAACCTGCAACACAAAGGCTCCCTTTAAAGAAAATGTTCTTGAACTTAAATAAACCTTTAAAGGAAGAAAGACTTTTTATAATAAAACCCAGTTTATAAAATTACTTATCTCTATAGTGTATCTTACGTTCTTTCAATCTTTAATTGGTCAGAAAGGAAGAAATGATGAAATCACAATTCCCAGTGACTGTTGAGTGTGGCTTGGTCTTGTTCAGGAGATGAAAAAGGAGATTAGTTACTAGAGGACTGTCTGAAACGGGGGGGGGGGGGGGGATTTTTTTGTCTTTCAAAACTTGACAGGTAGTTTTTTCTCATGGTGTAGAGACAGGCGTCTGGTGCCGGAGTTAGGGGTGTGAGGTGGTGGCCCATCTGAGCTAATGTTCTATAGCGATCATCTGGCATAGGAGCCTTGCCACTTTTACTTCCAGGCGGATCAGAAACATGACAGTTGCTCATTCTGAACAAATAAAGTCACTAGACTGTTTTGTTAAAATATTTAACCCTTGGTGTAATGTATATTTTCACAGGTTTTGGAAACGTTGTGGAACTTCGCATCAATACCAAGGGTGTTGGGGGAAAACTTCCAAATTTTGGTTTTGTGGTTTTTGATGACTCTGAACCAGTTCAGAGAATCTTAATTGCAAAAGTAAGTGATTTAAGGGACATAATTCAAGATTTTCCCTTTTTTGTTGTATATAGTATGGATTGAAACATTTAAAACCATAGCAAATCTTTTTATGGTAAAGCTAAAAATAGTTAATTGTGAAATGGTATTTATGCAAAGAATAAATGAAAATAGTATTACAGATTGTTGTATGGACCATCTTTCATTTGCTCATCTGAAAAAGGCTGAAATTTGCATTTTCGAGACTTCCATTAAAGTTTTTTATTTCTCAGAAGATTTTCTTACTTGTGTATGCAAGTTCATACTTGTCTATTCTTATGTAACCCACTCATACCATTTTTCTCTTTTAAAGCCAATTATGTTTCGAGGAGAAGTACGTTTAAATGTGGAAGAGAAAAAAACGAGAGCTGCCAGAGAGCGAGAAACCAGAGGTGGCGGTGATGACCGCAGGGATATCAGGCGCAGTGATCGAGGCCCTGGTGGTCCACGTGGAATTGTGGGTGGTGGAATGATGCGTGATCGTGATGGAAGAGGACCACCTCCACGAGGGGGCATGGCACAGAAACTTGGTTCTGGAAGAGGAACCGGGCAAATGGAAGGCCGCTTCACAGGACAGCGTCGTTGAAGTTCCACTGTCGGCAAAGTTTTGGCAGTGGTATCTAACTCATCGTGTTTGCATTCTTGTTAAGTTTTTTTGGCTTTGGAATGTGACACAGCCTTTTTGATCATTTCTTTGATGTGAAAAGCATCTTTTGGTTATCAGTTAAATTGAGGTGGACATTAATTTCCCCAACTTCACAACAGGATTCATATTGTTAATTTATAAATCTAGACTTGGAGAATTAAGGACTGAGATATGACCATATCCTAAACTGTCTACAACAAACAAAATGAACCTAAAAAGGACTTGCCCACTGAATTCGGGTCATTTGAGTTTAAAAAAATCCTCTGCTGCACATTTTGTTTAAGTGTTAACTGTCTCTGCTGTTAATGTTGGAAACACAAATAGTGCAGTTTTTGTGCAATTGGAGAATCTTGCCTTTTTTCTTGGCTTCCCCCCAAAACAAACCAACAGAAACTTTTTGTGTATTCATCAAAATGCACTATCGGGTACTCTGAAGTCATTAACATTGACATCTCCACCAGGAGGCAACAGGGAAAAAAATCTTTCATCTTCTTTTCCAGTAGAGAATAGTTTGTGAAATGATGAGGGCATTTTATCTGCTTGCTGTGACCAGCGTGTGCATACACAAACCTTAACAAGACTGCAAATATTCCAGAAGAAAGTCATTTAGTTATGAACGAAATAACAAAAAATGAGAACTTCAAAAGCTATGGTCTTAAATACTAGACCAGATTTAGTAGCTCTGTATCCTAAGAGTTTTCTACCTGCCCTCTTGAGTACAGGGATGCTGGCTGCTCAACACACTCCTCCTCCCCTTTCCTTTCTTTAAGCTGTGTACAGTGGAAACTGTCTTTCCTGTATTTTGTTCTCTGGTAATAAGCATGATGGTGCCTTCTATAACATCATTCCAGTCTTGCTGGGGATTCTGTACAGCGTGGTTTATGAATTGCTGTGCTGCAAAGCCACACAGCTGCAAAACGTTGAAGTAAATCATTGATGTATAAAAATTGCAGTATCTTTAAATGAGTAAAATGGATGCTTATTATTTATCTTGTTTTTTTAGTTAACATCTGTGTTCTATGTGGGAGGGAGTATTGTGTGTTTGAAGGGAGAAGAAACCAGTTGAGTCTCTAGTTGACTTTTCTTTTAGCTCCAAAGTGAACTATAAAAAAAGGTTTTCACTTAATTTTTGGAAAAGTCCAACAACCTGATGCACATTTTATTCACATTTTAAAAGCAGTCAGATTACCACAAATGGCAAGTAAACTTAAGTGAGGATGCTGCAATTTTCAGAGGGAAGAATGGCAGCTCTTAAGATTTGGGGGACAGGGAACTGTCATTCATTTTGCACAATTCTTGAACTGATGTCAGCACCCAAATGGCTCCTGAATTTAAGTCTGGGACGACATCTTTTTATTTTTACATGAATCTTTAAACAATTCTGTGAGCAAAAGTTTCTAGCTGCTGGATTATTGTCTGTCTTTATAGCAGGTTCCAGTAAACCACAAGAATGGCAAAGTTTATCTGGTTTTTATGGTTGGAACAATCAGTATATATCAGATTTCTGATGTTTCAAGCAAGAAGCAGAGTAAGCAAGTGTGACCACTTTTAAGCTGCTTGTTAACATGGAAGACTTCTCCATCCTACCTTAATGAAAACAAAATGCACACTTGACATGGTAGCAAATTGGTTCTCAACTTTGTGACAGTTTGCTAGTTATTAAACTTTTTTTTTTTTTTGTCAACTGGGCAATATGGGTAAAATTGTCTTTTTTTTTTTCCCTTTGAATGAGGTCTTCCATGTTTGAGGAAATGTCTTGCACTATTGCATATATTTTGTGGACACAGAGTTTTGTAGTTTCCATTTTGGAAGGCTAAGGTTTTTTGTTTGTTTGAAACAGTTTTACATTTTCTAATGTACAGTACTTGAAGTTCGTACTAGAGAATTACTTTGGAGTTTTGAAGCTTTTATCCAAACTACTTTGAAATAAGTGGCTTTCTTGTCAGTGGTTTGCCCCCAAATGTAATTTTCTTTGTTTTTATTTCTCCTTTCTATTGTATATGTGTATAAGTACTCACAGACACAGAAACATATCGGCACAAGCATAAGTGTTTCCAATGCAAGATATTGCCCTGAAACCCATATGAAGTGTTCTGGCATCAAAAGACAGATAGATGTTAAGTGTAACAGATAATTGGAGCTAAGAGCCATTCAGCTTCAGCCTTTACATACACAGATAAAATATTAAAACATCACGTGGAGAAGTTTACATGGTGACTGTTCACCCGCAGTACTGTGGACTTTTAACATTGTGTCCCCTTTTCAGTGAAATACTAAAAAAAGTACTCATCTACCATTACTGTTATTTGCTGATTTTATTTTATTTTGATGGTAATATTCTATCCTTATGACACTATTGCAACCAAATTGGCTTTACCATCTTGGCTTTAGTAGGTATAGAAGACAGTGGATTACCATCTTTATTTTGTAATGTGTTAAGCATTATATGCTGGTAGAATCTAGTTTGTTTCAGGTGGAAAGTATTCTCTTTGAGTTTCCATTTTGAATGTGTTTGGACTAAAACAATAAACTACTGATGTCTGCAGCGTTTATCTATGTCCCTAATTTAATCTGAAGTTATATTTTTCGAAATATTTTTCTCCCAGTTGCACTTCGTACAGCCTGTATGACAAACGGTTTGAACCAACGCTTTTGTTTTGGAATATAAAAAAGCCAAACAATTTACACTTGAACATTGTCAGTGCTAGCCCCTTTCTAGCGCTGATTTTGATACCTAGTATACAAGTAACAGGATGTTAAAGCATACTCAGGAGAATGAGAAAGCTAAAAGTACAGTCTGTCTTAATAGTTGTTGGGAGGGGAGATCCTGTTACTCTGGCATTTGGAGAATACAGGCAGATGGATCTGGAATTCAGGCTCATACACAGACGCTCTGAGTCCAGTCTGGACTACTTTCGGAGCTCAGAACAGCAATATCAAGGTTGTGAATGTGTGTTAAACTAAGTTGTAATGGAAGAATCTAAAAACATCTGTAGGCTGTCTGGAAAATTGGCTGAACTTTGCAGAAACAAGTTACCTGGTCTGGAATTTTTAACTTTTGTATTTTGGAGACAGGATCTGGAGAACTTAATCAGGCTGGTCTCATTTCAGATTTCTGGAGTCCAGTGACCCTGTTGGCTTGGCCTCACAAGCGCTGGGCCTGCTGGTAGCATGCAGGTGTGTATGACTTACTGCCTGGCATATTTTTAAAATATTCTTGTGGTGTCAGTGAGACACATTGCATTGAGCCTAGGACCTTTCTCTTGCTAGGCAAGTACTTTACTACTGAAGTATACTCAACTTGGCTCAGGAAATTCTTTTAACTATTGATTAACAAAGATCTTTCTTAAAAAACACCAGAAAACTAAAACTATGTTCATAATACATTCTGACAAAGATTCCAGTAAGTTTCCCTGGGAATTAATTATTTTTAAAAAGTTAGCCAGGTAGTGTGACGGACAAGGAGGATCTGTAGATCAAAGCCAGCCTATGCAAGTCAACTTTGCCTGAGGCACTCTTTGACACACAAACCCAAGCCCAAAATCATTGCACTGTTGTTTCTAAAATATTGGTGGTTCTTGGTTGCTTTTGACAAATGGGAAAAGGGGCTAAAATCCCCAAATCTTTATGGTGTCTATGTATCTGTTGTATTTAATACCCTTCCAAACTATAAGAAGTCTTTTGGCATTACCAAATTCTGAGGAAATATTGGCCATCCGTATTGACACATTAACTGAGTTGTCCTTGGTTTCTAGAATTTCAATTAAGCTGGTTCCTTCCTTGGAGTAGTTCACTTTTGTGATTATTCTTCGCTATTCCATTTTATGTCACAGCATTAACATGGACCTTTTCTTTCCTTTTCTAGTCTTTCTCTCTGGGGTCATCTCGCTTGGGGGAGGGAGTTTCTTAATAGTTGGGAGTGGCAGCCTCAGTAGCTGCCCACCAGAGGTGCTGCTTTCTTCTGACTTAGGGTTTGTTGAGTGTAATAGGCCCTCTGAGTGAACTGTTGGATTTTTACTGTTACCTGTGTCAAATATACATAACTTTCAAAATAAAATACACACAAGATACATACACACGTACATAAACACACATCTGGTTTCTCAAGACAGGGTCTCTCTGTGTAAGCTTGTCTGTCCTGGAACTTGCTCTTTAGACCAGGCTGGCCTTGAACTAGTGATCACCCTACTTCTGCCTCCTAAGTGCTGGGGGTAAAGGCCAGCGCCCCACTGCCCAGTTTTTTTGTTTGTTTTAAATAAATATGTGTGTGTAAATTATTTTCCCCATTTTCCTTGGATTACTAGGTAACTGAAAATTAGGAAGTGAAAAACAGTGTGCCTTTCTGGTAAATTTATTGAGCCTGTCTCTAATGAGCATCATCTATTTAGCCTCTCAGTTTGGAGTCACAGCTCCCCTGAACACTTTCCTGTCCTGCTTCATTGTGCTCCAGGTTGCCAGATCTGTTAGCCTGATGGTACCACTTAAGTAGTCCATCTGACTAGATTGTCTAGTTTTAGAGTGACATGCTTTATAAATGTATGATCAGTGAGACACTTCTCTTAAGTATTGAAACTGAGGAAACTCAATTAGTAGACACTAGTAGAGAATACCCATTGTCCAAAGCCATGAGCTCCATAATGCCTCATAGTCTTCATTACCATGGCATGTATGTCTTGTTTTTTAAGATTTTATTTGATTCATTGCTTTACTAAAGTCATTGGAAGATGTTTATCAAATGTCTGCTGAGTACTTCTGTGACCTGAATCCTGTTCTTTGAGTGGGTCATGCTAGCTTTGGCTGTCGTGAAATTAGAGCTTGCACAACCCTGGATTTATTTAGGAAGCACCTCTCTGAAGAGGTCTGGTAGAGACTTGGAACAGAAATTAAGAAGCTGTTAACATTCCGTGAGCTGAGGGACTTCATGGAGGCCTTTTGTGTCTTATACCTTTTTTTTTTTTTTAAGATTTATTTACTATACTGTGTATACACTATTCTGCCTGCATGTATGCCTGCACTCCAGAAGAGGGCTCCAGATCTCATTACAG